TTTCCGTACAAACAATCAAACAAACAAACAAACAAACAAACAAACAAACAAACAGACAGACAGAGCGCTTTATATATAGTAAGGATAGCAGGATTATGGCAGTACGGAAATAGATTTTCAACTTCATTCGCAGTACCCCATACTGGTAATAAATTTTCGATCGCATCGCTTCTATTATCGCAACAGCCCTGCTGATGGTCAAACATCAAATAAAACTACGTAGTAGCCTTTTCGCCAATAAATATTTTTCGCCAAAACTTCATTAGATGTGAGCTACTTTAGAAAAATGGAACTGCTTTTGCAGCAAAGGCGCGTGTTGAACCTTTATGAAACATCCTCAATGGTACAAAGGGATAGGCTTCTATCATGAACATTCATGCGCCACTGACAGAACCTAAGTACTTAACATCCAGTGTGTGACAAGTATCTGCATTACCATATCTTCAGGATTGGTTGTTTTCGGCATGAGCTTGAAAACCTATATCTCCACATGTGGGTGAAGGATGCCATATCTACACTGTATTAAAAAATGATACAGCTACTCGTCGATTACATTAAAGCTCGCATTCCAGGGCACTTCTGGAGAAGGCTTAATATGGAAATTATGCCCCTACCGGATCGCATCTTGTGGACCAAAGCACGCTCTATCTCAAATGTTTCTCTTCACTTTTCTTTTGAAGAGAGTCCCTCCGCCTATGTTCCAAAATGATACAGTCATCACATACTTTCCCGTCGCGTTCCATTTCCAACTTACAGAGTTGCTTCATTTGTGTAATAATTTCCCAGGCAACGGGTAAAGGGAAGTTGCTATTCGATTTTGGAAAAAGTCTAACTCTCGCAAAAAGAGGGACAGGTACTGTCGAAACGTGAACTTGCCTAAGATTGTGGCCGACTCCACGCAGTTTCGATGATTTGCTCAGGAATCCTGCAGAGTGTGGGACAAAAAGAAGCAAAGAACTCTCTTCGTTACATTCCTTCAGAACGTTTTCTATGAGAGACAAACGGATTATGTATGACGTTAGATGCGAGTTTTAGTTCGTTTTTGAAAGAAGCGTGGAATACGACAAAGTCATGTACGGAAATGTCCTATTTGAAGCTCAATGTCTTGAGGATTACTGTTTGGAAACGAGGAACAATCGCGATATCCGGCCGCTCTTGCCATGAATTGCATCTGAAGTGTTTGAAGTAAGGTACATTCTATGTCAACTTTTTGACTCTTCCTTCTCCTGGTGTTTCGTGCTCCAGGTTGCTGTTTTGATGTGGAAAAACTATATTGATGACCCAGATTGCAACCGGTTCCATTGGGAAGGGATAAGCTCCAAATTTTCAAACGAAATTGCAATGGAGGGAGATTCTTGGTGTGGACAGCAATTTCTTCCCGTTGAGGTGTTCATATGTGATTTAATCCGTGGAAAGCCCGGCTCTTCCGAGCTCTCCTTCTTTTTGGTGTCAGAATCAGCAGCAGAACCACGTATTCGTGCGGGATAATGCGCCAATTCACGTCACACGGAGCACTCAGGCCTACTTCACTCCGCACCAAACCGACCCTTCGCTCTGCCCGGCTAACAGCCCTGACTTGAATTCAATAGAATACAAATGGGGATTGATGATAAGAATGAGTTATGAAGAAAACAAGCAATGTAGAGGCGTCACTTAGCTGCACAAAGCAGTCGTCGATGCTTAGCACCAAGTTGACTAGGAGCTCATTGATAAGCTTTTCTTTGGAATAGAAAATCGTATTTTCAAGATGATTCGAGGGAATGGGGCTCATTCGATCATTGATCACGCAATTTCCTCTCTTCGTTATTATTTAGCTGCCTAACAAATTGATTTGGTAAGTGTTTGTATCTTTTTGAATTATCCTACAAGTTATTAGCCTACAAGGGTACCGTCCAAATAAAGCGCACTTTTCATACTACGACTTTTTATGACGTGCCCTGGAACGTGAGCGCCAGAAATCCAGAGGTGCCTATATCAATATCAAAGGCAGTGTAATAAGGAGACCTCAACTCACGAAATATCCCCGTACACCAGGAACATATGTATGACTTCGGGTCTGAATAGTCGGTTGGGTTATGCATGCGTTTCCATGTAGGAACCAGATATTCTTATGAATTTCTTTCAAACACATTAGAATTAATAACTAAGTGACTCACATCATAAGAATCACAGCTGGTATGTGTAGAGCGGAGATGACGAGCGCTAAGGAACGCCAATGTTGAAAGAAGTAGGCAATGATGCCGAGAATGATTACATTGGGCGAATAATTGATGACAGTGTTGATCCACATCCGGGATTTCTTTGGGATATTTTCAAGTAAATAGACCATCACTACACTGAAATGTACATTATTGTCATCTAAAAGTATTATAGCAGTTCAAACATTGGGGGCTTTTGCAGGAAACCTAATTTCTCTTCCAGCTATACTTTACAAGCCTCTCTATTCCTCTGGCTACATACCAGAGATAAGAGAGTCTTTGGGAGATAATTGATCGCATGACTAAAATGCGTTTCCGCACTCATATTCAGAGTGGCGTTTCTGAATGCGTACATATGTAGCCTGTACAATGAATTGCAATGACCAGCCGTATACAAGTCATGATTTTCATTCTCTCAGTCGAGCCTGGTACCCCAGATAAGCATTTTATGTATGTTTTGACTCACCTCTGTGCCCCTCGTAACTGTGTGAAAAGCGCGTATTTAATAGAGCCCAAATTAATGACGAATTCATCCATTTATGTCTGTTCACGACATGAAGGGGACCACATAACATTTAAGGCTTTCTGGACAGAAACCCGACCCTCGATCTCCTTGAACTGGTGACTTTTTGCTGATTGGTAGAACGAGTAAATTTCGAAAAAAAAATATCGGCGAGACTTTTTTTAAAATGCTTATTCGGAATTTCTAGTAGGAGAGCTCAAATCAATGAAGAACTAACGTTGAATGACCTCCTGTGAATATGCCGAGAATAAAACGAATAATAGTGAATTGAACGAGATCATTGACGAAATAAGTGGCCAGGCTTAGTAGGCCGGTCATTGTCAAGCATACTACCATCGGCTGAAAGGATAGGAAGTGATTCTCTTGCTTTGTGAGCAAATTCACGGCATTTACCGTCACACCTTTTTCCTACCCAATGAGGAGCTGATTTGCCCTGAACTGAGAGAACCAATCATCACACCGAGCATTTGCAGTGAAGTACTCCGCCGCTCCAAATATCTTTGTTCGCAATGGATTTCCCACTGAAAACGGCATAACGAGATTATCAAAATCAAAATGATAAAAACCCTAACATGAAACTTGTTTCCTACTTCACCGAAATTGATATTATCATTCTAATGACGACATATGTGGTGATATGTAGATCGATAGGACGATTAAAATCCCTCCGAGGTTCACTAAATGGTACCAGACTCATTTGGGAGGACAAGAGCACTGACATGCAGGCAGGCAAGTGACAGTCCCTGTGTATGTAGGTCACATACGCATCTAAAACACTCAAGAACCCACACAAGGGCACAATGTTTAAAGCTAGATACTCTTCCACTTCATTGCTAGGGCGCCCTGAGCCATCTTTTGGGAGGCATAAGAATGCTTGAGAAGGGGTTTTGCAATATCTGTCCGTATACTCATGTAAACCCCTTGTACAGATGGTGGGAGGGACGGTTCGTTGCCGTCAACTGAATTCTGTCACAGAGTAGAATAAATTCCAAAGATTGAACCTGCTTGCGGGTATGGCAAGCAGGTTCAATCTTTGGAACAAATTTGTGGACTTCAATTTGTTCGCTGTTAAGTAAGGCATATGGGTTCTGAGAATAAGGCCAGATTAATACATAATCCGTGAATGCCACAAAGCTTCCAAAGTGTTCGAAGAGCTATGATTAATGGTAACTTAGGTAACTTGGTACTATGATTAATGGTAACTTAGGTAATTAGGTAACTTGACCGAACCAGAGGTTTCCTCAGCAAGTTCACTCCGTTATGCTTTTAATTTCAATGTTTTTCTTCCGGAAACTTGTGTGGGTTTGATAACGACCCGGAGTCACGTTGGCAGCCGAACTGCTTGGATCAGTCTTTTCTAATCTGTCTTTTTATTGACCTTATTATATAATAGGGTGTGACTACTTGACTTCCACAATACGCTTCCGCTAGCGAATTCCACTGATACGAAAATGGGATTGGAATACCCAGAGCCTTGACGCATGTCGAAGAGCTTTCCTACGTTAACATTTTGGAAAACAAGAAAACAAAAATCTATCAAAATTTTCAGATCGCGTTCTGATGACTAGATCTCGATGGGAATTTAGCGTATCTACAGTCCCATGCCAATGCTTCACACTCTACCTCACTACCGCAGCAGACATCAGGTCGTAAGGCCCCACCGCAAAGGAAAGCTTGAGTAAGTGCAGGTGCCTACTTGAGTAAGCACTACTCAAGTAGGCACCTGCACCTACCCTGAAGATGTGCAGGTTGACCTGGTAATCTCTGATAGAAGGTGCACTTGAAAATGCGATCCCAATGTACAAGTGTGAACTATGGGTCCATCCTCAGCCAGCTTCATATGCCTTCATATAGTTATTTGACGTTCTTTCAAGGGTAATAAGGAATCTCACCTCTTCATTCACTGAGAAGAATTGGCTTTCTAACTCTAAAGGAAGTCCTTCACATTGATGTAAATTAGCACATGCTTCCTCCATAGTAGCAAACGTCATATTACCGCACCCTCTTATCATGGGCGAGGAACCTGTAGGAAAATATTGGTTTTACTCAAGCATCAGTTGATCCAAATTATGCTTTCACTTTGTTTGGCACTTCTCCTAATTTTAGCTCTTACCTCTTAAGCTGTACTACCGAGATTTCCTACAACTCGCTTTCAATGAACGCGCTATGGCCTCCTTCTAAACATACAGCTCAAAAAGGAGAAGTAATATCGATCGTCTCTTCCGTTTGTTAAATTGCTAATGTTACACCTGTAGTTTCAGTCAGTTTTCAAGATACCGAGAATTTTTTCAGTTGGAGCAGTATTTTCATTTGGCGGTTAAATTTAGCTCCTTGTTAATGCTACTGTAGATCTATCCGAAATAATAACGAACAATAAGCCACTTAGGAAGTCCAATCAAGGTGCTCAGTAGAATATCTGATTTCAAGGCAATATACTTTCAGAAAAGATCTCATTATTTTCATCCGCATCACCTGCTCAGACAAAAGTAATGCTTAACTAACAAATCCCTAAGAAGATAAGGATATAGATTCAGGGGGAGAAAAGTGAAATAAAAGTCTATCAAAATAGTGCTTTAAAAAATGTTATCAAAGAAATTGCAGCATAAATAATCCTACTATATATAATTCGCTAAGTGTGTCTGTTGGTGTGTCGGTGTGTTTGTGTGTGTGTGAGTGTGTGTTTGTTTGTGTGTGTGTCGGTGTGTGTGTCTGACCGGAAATTCATATCTCCGGTCCCCGTATACCTAGAGCGTTCAAACTTGGTAGGAGTACGTGGGACAGGGTGGGAACATTTATGGTGTGAGGCAGGACCGGACTCCATGCACAGAGGGCGGGGCGTGCTCAAGAAAAATTTTAAGCTGCAATTTCATAATTCCTGTTCCCGTGGACCTAGAAAACTCCAATTGAGCAGGAGTACAGGGAGCAGCATAGTACCCTAAAATTCCATAGATGAGAGCGGTTTGACTTACCGGTGAAAAATGAATTGGAATTCAATTTATTTTTCACCGGTAGATTGAACCGCTCTTGTCTATGGAATTTTAGGGTAACAGTGATGGCAGGTGAAAGGACGGGGGACGGGGCGTGAGCGATCGAGATTTTAGGTCGCAAAGCAAAAGGGTATTGATGATCAAACACTGTCTCTTTAAAATGTTTCATTCAATAAGACGGGTAAATCCAGTAATAGCGACCGATCAAAGACATTTCTCCATAACGAAATGAGATGATTGTTCATTTCTTGCTACAAAACGACGACCGTTACGCAGTAAGCTTTGTGACACAATGAAGTCTCACGGTCCTTTTTATTTTGTGACATATCATTTGTGTCTAAACTCATGTGACCGCTAATAATTTGGTATTCCCAATTAGTGAAAAACCGTGGGGAAAATGCTCCATTGATAGCGACAGGCGTTGATAGGCGTTATTGTGACATGGCTTATTATCCATTTCTGAGTACTATTCAAGACAAGGTGGTGTAGTGGTAAGTGGCGCACTATATCACACGCGCGGTCAGGGGTTCGAATCCCGGATCGATGCCCGCCTAGGCCAACCAAGCCTTCCATCCCTCCGGGGTCGGTGAATTGGTACCAGACTCGTCTGGGAGGATAAAAGCACTGACTTGTACATCGGCTGGCCACCGCAAGTCATTGTATAGGCCACATACGCACTCATTACGCCACTACGATTCTGAATGGAAGTCGAGTGCGGGGGCGCATCCCTCAGACGGGATTGATTAACGCCAAAAACTTTATCCTTTATCCTTATTCAAGACAATGGTTTCAATCAGTTAAGCTATAGTACGGAGCTAATACTGAGGGTGTAGAGCTTTCAAGAAAGAGGAGAATCCGAAGTGCTATTTACGCATAGAAAATTTCTTACAGGAAGGAGGAGCGCCCGGCGAAGCCGGGCGACACAATAAGAAGGAGGGAAGACCGGCGTTAGCCGGGTGGCCCGACTGGTTCCTTATACATGACAAAATGTCCCTTCAGAAAGCAACTTACCATGTTTCTACTTTGTTCACTAGTTTCTTCTGATCGCATATCCTAGGGGAAGTTTGCTCCCAAAATGATATGGTTATACTCGAATTCATGACGGACACTCATTTGAGGTAAATGAAGAGTATCGGCTCTTTGAAGGTTCAAGGATGAGTGCAAGAGAAGCGAATCGTGCCGTAAGACAATCGAGGCCGAGATAGTTAGCTACACTAATGTCATATTGTACACCAGTCGGGCTGCCCGGCTAACGCCGGGCTTCCCTCCTTCTGATGGGTTCGCCCGGCTACGCCGGGCGCTCCTCCTTCCTGTGAGAAACTTGCTATGCGTAAATAACAATCCGGTTTCTCCTTTTTCTTTGAAAGCTCTACACCCTAAGTATTAGCTCCGGATTGGGAGCGATTTTTTCTGTAAGCCATCTTCGCTGTGTCCGAATAGAACATCAAATAATATCACAAAAGCGATTATCCAGAAGAAAAAAGTATTCAGAGACTCCATCGCGGCTGAGTCTACTATGTTAGCTACCATTAATGTTCCCAGCCAACTCCTTGTGCCTTCAAGTTCCAACGGTCTGGGTCTCTGGGTCCGAACTAACATTATTTATTCACGCCCAGCCCTTTGAGGCAGAGTTTAGTCTTGCAACCTATCATCAGTGTTCCTATCCTGCCTCCTGTATCCCTACCAAGTTTGGTCGCACTAAATCCATTTTGACATTTCCCTGCTAGCCCCGCCCCTGAAGGAGTTATGAGTTTTTGCTCAAACCCCATCCATTGTGGGCGGAGTCTGGTCCTGCCACCCACTATAAATGTTCTCATCCTATCTTGGGTACTCCTACCAAATTTGGACGCTCTATTTCCACGGGGACTGCAGTTATGATTTTCCGCACAAACCCCGCCCCCGGTGGAGTCCGGCTCCGCCACCCACCATAAGTGTTCCCACGCTATAGCCTGTACTACTACCAAGTTTGAGCGCTATAGGTCCAACTTTAAGTTTTTCATACAAACCCCGCCCCGTGTGGGCAGAGTCGGGTCCCGCCAGCCACCATAAATGATCCCATCCTGCCGCCTGTGCTCGTTTCAAATTTGAACTTTCTAGGTCCACAGGGACAGGAGTTATGAATTTCTGCCCAAACCCCGCCCATTGTGGGCGAAGGCCGATCCTCCCACCCACCCTAAGTGTTCCCATCCTATCTTGGCTACTCCTACCAAATTTGAACGCTCTAGGTCCAACTTTGAGTTTTCCACACAAACCCCGCCCATTGTGGGCGGAGCTCAATCCTGCTACCCATTATAAGCGTTCCCATCCTATCTTGGGTACTCTTATCAAATTTGGACGCTCTAGATCCACGGAGACTGCAGTTATGATTTTCCGCACAAACCCCGCCCCCCAGTGGGTGGAGTCCGGCCCCGCCACCTACCATTAGTGTTCCCATGCTGCAGCCGGTACTCCTACCAAGTTTGAGCGCTTTAGGTCTATGGGGACAGAAGTTATGACTATCCGCTCAAACATTTGTTTCGCACAAACCCCGCCCCCTGCGGGTGGAGTCCGGCCCCGCCACCCACCATAAGTATTTCCTTCCTGTTGCCTGCACTCCTACCAAATTTGAACTCTCTAGGTCCATGGGGACCGCAGTTATGAATTTCCGGTCAAACACACAACTACACACGCACACACACAGACAAACCAACAGACACACTTAGCGCGTTATATATAGTAGGATAGTAGGATAGTACTCTTTGGGCACAATCCAGAAGAAAATAGTTCGATCTTCTGATGGCTTATAAATTTTTGAACTGCATTCATGGTACAATTTTTCGACTACAGCAGCACGATCCCAGATTAAGTTGAAAATTTTCAGTAATAGAGTTCGCACGAGCTCCAATTCACTTTAACTTCGTAATCTCTATTCCTCAAGATTTTGTGCTTTTGAGAAATCTGTTCATAAGTTGATTTGACCCTATTGAACTTATTTGCACTGTGTAGTTTTTTGTTCTTGTTTTTTTTAATGGATCATATTATTTTCCTCACTTATTTAACATGCTGTACAGCATGTTCGCCATTTGTTCATTTATGTACAGTATTTACAGTTCTACAGTCAAATTCCGAATTCCTATTTCGCTTCGCACTCCAATGGTCGGACAAACAAGAAAAAGATGAACGGTTTGTTCCAAGAAGAATTCTTCTCAGCCAGTTATACTTCTCACTTCTTTGGAGCCAGTTTGTTCGTACTAACAGCAATATAAGAGGATAAAAGGACAGAAAGTGCAACTAGCCCTGAATTTCACGTGGCATGAACGAGGATGAACACCGTCTGTTTTGCTCCCCAAATAAAATGTCTCGACTCAATGCGTAAATATGTATGAGTAAGTCTTGAAAAACTTTTGAAGGTTTTAGATGAAAAGTTGTGGACACTCTCAAACCCTCAAACCTATTAGCCGCCCATGCATCTTGTAAAATCGAACTTATATCCTCAACATGCGTGTGTTTACTGATTAAGAGGAAGGAAAAGAAAAAGGAAAAAAAGGGAAGAAACAGAGCCATCAATAGGTTTCAAAGATTGCAGTTACTATCCATGGGTTGAGTTTCAGGTCGGAACCAAAAAAAGCACTTCCCTACCTGCGTACACCATATACATTGTATTTGATAACTGCGAAAGAAATGCTAGTTCTGTTAGAAGACAGACAAGCATCGTGTATCGTCCAAGAACGACAATGTCATCGAGATGCTTTATAACTAGTGGTTGATTTGCCGTCCCTGAGTCGTCCATGACGGCAGCTGTAATGAGAGCATCACAAAGGCATAATTGGAATCAAGAGGAAACGCGAAAGGAGGAGGGTCTGTAGGATATATACGCAATCAACTCTCCTTCGCAAAAAAAACGAAGCAGCAGTGAAACAGAAACGACCGAACCGTACGAACAGACCACAGACAATGTCTTTTAAATAAGCGTTGAGGGCTAGAGAACGCTCATCTAATGAATATCAAAAGGTTAGGCATTCGGAGCAGTCCTTAACAGCTGAGAATTTATTGTTCTCTGTTATGAATATGCGATGATTCAGGAGGGCGTCAACGAATTTGCTTCCAAGAAGGGAGCCAAAGTCTGAAGAAAATGTACCATAGTGTAGAGCTCGCTTTGGATCACTTTTTGTCGAAGGAAAGAGAAAGTGCAGGCGTCAATAGCCGTACACCAAGCAGTTATGTACTATGAAGCGATGTGATGATTGTACAGCAGTTAGCACCTGAAACTTTGCCGGTTGGTGGGGCCTGTTCAGCAGCTCATTAGCGATGCCTTGCACCTGTATGTCGTGGACAACAATAAAGTGCTAATTTCTCTCTTGAGACACTGAATTCATGATTGTACCATGGGATTGAATATTTCAGGAAGACGATAAACACGGCGCGTCCAATATAGTAATCTGAATTTTTGAATGGCTCTGTTTTCTATTGGAGAAGACTGAAGTTGCTTGAAGCAACTATAAGTTTCGTATAACAGAGACAATACGCGAAATCGGTATGATAGAGGCTCACAGCTGAATGAAAGGAATAAGTTCCAACCTTAGGTATTGAAAACAAAGCGTGAATCATGGGCTCGAATTCTTATGTGCTCAATTTTCCAAAGATAAGAGTTGATTTGGGTGATCTGATAAAGATTCGGGATGGAAAGGGCATAAGTCATAGTGATGGAGTCACACCGTGTTATTCAAGGATATTTGATCGCTATTTGATTAGTGTCATTATGATTCAAAATAGTCACCCTTATTTTGTCGTTAAATATGACTAGGTGAGCGTAGTGGAGAACCTTCATCACAAAATGAAAAGCCTCATAACTGCTCGTCCCGCTCACGGTGACTAACGGCACAGTTAGCGCTCTTAGGTTGAAAGAAACTAAAAGCACCACAGTAGCAGTGCTTGTACTCGACTCTTCAGGCTTTGAATTTGAATTGGCAGTAATCCACTTCAGCAGAGGCCACAGTTTGAGAAGGAGGATTTTGCTGATCGCTATCTGTCGTAAATTGGCTTTTTATTCAAAATAATTGCCTCTATGAAATCCTTACAGTCCAGAGAAAAGAGAGTCGAACGCGAGTGTAAATAAGGAAGAAAAAGTTCGGGAGCACTTCTGTATTCAATAATACTTCGCTTTATTAGCCAACAATGGATGGTTGATGCTGCATTTCGTGTCGGCGATAAGAGCTATGAGGAGGGGTTATCAGTCATTTGACAATGACATTCACTAAAAACAGATGTTTTTAACTTTGCTCCACGGCAAAGCTACTGAGGACAGTGTCGCGGCAGTTTATTAAAAAAACCTGATCGAAACCATCACCAGACTTAAGTCAGAGCTTCAGTTCGACGCCGAAGTGTTTCCATTAGGAGCACTTTGTACGTTCGCAATCGCACTTTGTACTTTAAAGATCTGACACCACTCTGTTGACTTCTCAAAAAAACCACTAACCCTGGAGTCGTCTGCACATTGCATCAGGTGCGTAACGAAAGTCTTGTTTTTGACCAAAGTAGAACGTTCTGCAACCATAAAATGAAGTCCTGAATTGTAGTTCCAAAATATGTCAGCGCTAAAAATGGTGGTGTGTGTCATTTGCATGTACCGCATTATCCAATCACTATTGTAATTCAAATTGCCCTACTGTTTGGGCCACACAGAATTAGCATCACGCATAATACTTTGTTCTGTAAGCTAGCTGGTGAATTATGTTTGACACCAATTTTGCTACGC